GGGGGGGGGGGGGCACTGCCACACACCCAGGCCTCCTTCCCTTTCAGCCCTGTGGTGTCTGCTCAGAGCTGGCCTGGCTTACTCTTCTAACTTCCAAAATAAAATTCGTAACTGATTTTCTCAGCCCAACACTGAAACTTGTGAGCACAAGTGCTCACACAATCTGAGATCTCTCAGTGGGAATGCAGCTATTTTAGACAGGCTGTTGTGTTTCCAGAGGATTTGCCTGGGCACAAAACAGGAGAGAGCGTGACGCCCAATACTTCCAGGCCACAGGTGACACTTCTTTGCCAGGGAACCACGAACCTGTGTGGGATCATGCATGTGTCATGTGCCACTGTAGGAACTTCTCAGCCTTAGCTGCTGGGGAGGGCAGTTTTTCTCAGCCCACATGGGGTTTTAAAGCCCTGACTCAGAGCTGGGGGTGGGGGAGGCCAGGCAGCCCCCCTTAGCCAGCAGCGTGGGGTTTGGAGCCTGGTCAGCAGTGAGCCAGCCTCTGGAGATAGGACACCATGTTTCTTCAGTGGGTTGTGGCCTTGATGGACATATTTCATAATAGGCAAGCTGCTCAGCACAGAGAAATGTGGTTAAATTTTTGAGTTGTTGGAAAAATATGTAGCATGAAACCAGATAGCAAAATTGAGTCTCTGCAGATCACCCTGGCAAACTCCTGGGGGTGATCTAGACTGCATTCATCCACAAAGCCATGTTTGAGAAAGTAAAGGAAAATGCTGTATTGTGAATATTGGAATTTTATCAACATTCCATAAGGAACAGTGCTGGAAAAGTAGGGACTTTATTCAGATTAAGAGCGAGAGAAAGAAAGAGAGAGAACAGTCAGCTGCTGTTGGCATTGGGAGTGCTGCCTTCATTTGCCTTCCTCATGGCCAGAGTGCAGGGAGAATGAAGACAGCTTTGTCTGCTATCAGGTGCTTGGGGACCTGTGGGTGTGAGCCCAGGGTCAGGCACAGTGGCAGAGGTGAGGGTCAACTGTGTGCAATGTCTCCCTGGTCTCTTGTTGCTGGGAGAGCAGTGTTCACCAGGAGGGACTGGGAAAAGGAGCTTCTGAGAAAGGTTTACACTGCTCACTGCCAGCTGTGAGAGCATTGTACCATCAGTTTCATGGCTTGTCATCAATGTTTCTTTTGGTAATGAAATAAAATAGGTAGAATTGAATAAACACTATCTGAGTGCCTCTCAGGTGGCAAGGGTAACATTGTTTTTTAAAACTTTTATTAATAATTCAGTTATATATATGTTGACAAGGGTAACATGTTTAGTAAAACTTTTATTAATAATTTAGTTATATTGAAACACACGTATACATGTGTATATTGGGTGGTGGTGGAAAATGCATTTTTTTCCCCAGGCCCTAGAGGCTCCCTCGAGCTTTTCACTTCACCGTGAACACTGATTGACCTTCTTCTGAGTGTGCATGCTGAGGTCTGGCTTCTGCTGCTGAATCTCATGCAGTGTCTGTGATCCCACATGGATGCTGTGAACGTCCAGGTTGATGACAAAGCTTTCTTTCACACTCCTCTAATGTATGTGTTTTGTGACAGGTACTTCAAGTGTGGCAAGAGCCTGGAGTGCAACGTTTGATGAGCTGATTGGCAAACCCATTGGGGAGTTCTCTCGGACACACATGGCTCTGAACGCCCCTGGAGTGCTGGCCACAAACCCAGACATCTTTGCTGTGATCATAATTCTCATCTTAACAGGTACAGCCACACAGTGAGAGAGCCATCAGGTCGGAGGGACGGGTCCAAGGTATAAGGCAGGCTCCCATTATGTTTTCCTCCTTTTCTCTTTCTCCCCCCCATCCCGCACCCCCAGTTTTCTTTTTGTAATTAATGCAAACATCTTTTTTGTCTTAATGGCTTCTGATAGATTCACATAGGGCTGGCCTATTTAATAGTTGCCAAGTTGTGTGTCATTAGCTAAAAGAACCTTAGGTGTTTATGTGACTGGAGTAAGATTTTGTTAGTACATCAGGCTTTTTGTGCACATGACCCGGGAATACACAGTTAACTTATGATGACTATTTGGGAAGGAAAGTTGGTGTTCATCAGACAGGTTAATGTGGAGGAACGAGGTCTGTCTGGAACATTAACAGGTGTCTGGGGTGCCAGAGACGTCTCCGTTGGTTTTATACCTACTGGTAGTCAAAACACCCTTTAAGTAAATAAGTTTCAGGACAAAGTTATGGGTACAGAATTTTAAAATTCCTGATAGTGCTTGCCCACAGTTGATGGTAGCCTCTTCTTACTGACATTTATCTGTGTTTTAGCCACTAGGGTGAGAGTTTTGTTGACATAAACATTAAGCTGAAATGCAGATATATTAATTCTCTTTTGAGGTTAGAAAACCTCGCATGGGTTTTAAAAACAACCTGTCTAATTTTGTCCATTATGTATGCACAGGCCAGTCTCAGCAGTATTTGTGGTCCAGTGGCAGGAGCATGTATCAGAAATTAAATTTCCACTACTCAGATTTTCAGAAACACAAGAAGGAAGGATGCGAAAGGAGAGACCAAGGAGTGTGGTGTCATGTTCCCTGTGATGAACTGCTCCATTCTCTCCTAACGCTTGCATTTCAGAATTCAATCTATTATGTAAGCCTTTTTTCTTATAAAATGTGTAAAAGACATACATGGCGGAGCAGTGATCTCAGATCATAAATTGTGGTCGTGTGTCCCCTGGGCACCTTTCATGCCTCTCTTTTCACTAGCAGTTTGCCACAGAACTCCCCAAGTGGCACATTTACCCCAAGGTGGCCCTGCACTGTTGTGCGGTTCCTGGGCATTTTTATCACTTGGTATGTTTTTAATGTGAGTTGACAAACTAGAGCTAGTCTGGCCTAGTGTTTACGTGGTGGTTCCACAACCACAGACACTTGTCATTTCTGATATTGCTAACATCCCAAGTCAACCTGAATAATTTCCTGATATGAAAAACTCATTCTACCAAGAAGTTGAGCAAAGTGTCTCCTCCTTGGAGAAATTAAAATCCTGCTCCTGAGTGTGGTTCTCAGTAAAACACTTTAGTGAAGGGGAGGGTCTGGGAAGAGGCGCTCACTTCATCTCCTGGGGGGCTTGCTGCCCCCATCTCTGCAGTCTCCTGGTGCCCCGGGTGGCATCCTCAAGCATTGTTACACACCCCAGGGCTTTGGTTGTTTTGATCACTACTTCTAGAAAGATCATGAATTCAGCCCCATCCCCAGAGGTTCACAGAAGTCTTCAGAATTTGATGCCATGTGGATTCTTCTTAAGTCATCGCCCTCATCCGGGTCCCCAACCTGGGAAGGATTTGCCTGGTATGAGGTTAAAACTCAATGTTTCCTTTATATGCACATTTTCAGGACTTTTAACTCTTGGTGTGAAAGAGTCAGCCATGGTCAACAAAATATTCACTTGTATCAACGTTCTGGTCCTGGGCTTCATCATGGTGTCAGGATTTGTGAAAGGATCGCTTAAAAACTGGCAGTTCACAAGGGAATATTTGCACAACAACTCTGGTCACCTGTGCTCAAACAAGTGAGTTGCTTCTCTCTCCATCCCTTGGCATGTGGCAGTTTGTGTATTTGGGGGATGTAATTGGCTAGAACCATACGAGTCTTTTTTTTTTAAATAATGTGATTTGAATTTGAACATTTTATTAATTTTTTTTTGTAGTGATGTAGCTGAGGGTGTTTTATTGGTTTGAAATTTGTGTTAAGTTTTATTGCCCTCTATTAGACAGAACATAGTGTGACAAAGGATGCCTCCTGGGGAAAACAGAGTGTTCCCTCTAAATCCAACATGTACACAGTTGAGGATCACTGTCAGACTCACTGAGTAATCCCTTTTTCTCATATTCTGTTTCACAACCTTCTGAGTTTTGTGATCAGAAAAGATTTTCTTTGCAATACCATGATGATACCACTTTATGTTGAAATATTTAATAAAATGGAAAAAGATATATGTGGAACTTTTATCAAAAATTTTTAGAATTAACTAAAGTATCAAAATGTGATTGTAATCTCTTTCTCCACACTTGACTGGGTTGCATCAGCCCTGAAAAGCCGTGGCCCCATCCCCCTGACGTGTCTTTGGCTCAGGATATGCATGGTTAGAGGCAGGTCATCGGCCAGCTGTCCACCCCCTGCCTTCTCAAGGCCTCGGAGTGAACCCTCACCAACAAACTCATATTATCTAGGACACAAAAGCCAAATAATTGTAATGTATCTTTTTGTCAGGTTTTCAGGTGAAACTTAGGGTTCCAGGATAGAGAACAGGGAGTGTGATTTTGCCTACGAGTCTATTTTAATTACTGCTAATGGTTAAACTGCTCAGATTAAGAGATTCTTCTAAACTGCGGTAGCTTTAAAATGATGTCTCACATCCTGAAATGAGCAGTTTAGTTGGCTGGCCTGTGAAGATGTACTTAGGCTTTCAGGGACCCAGGTCGCTCACCTGGTTGTTCCGTCATCTCTGAGGATGTTGTCCTTACCTACATGGTTAGAGCTGGGCTGTGGGTGCTGGCATGATCCAGCTGTCCCAGAAAGGGAGCAGGTGTGGAGCAGTGTGTTCCCAGAGCTTTTAAGAACAGATCCAAGAGACACACATCCTTTCTGCCCACATTCCCCTATGGAATCCGGTAGGTGGCCATAACTCGCTGCCAGAGAGGCTGAGACACTGGGGGTCTGAGTGGTCACACGTCAGCTTGATTGCTAGTTGCTAAGGGCCAGGTTCCCAGTTGTCTGATTAATGGACAAATGTTGATGTGTGACTAATTCACGACCAGAATGCAAACAGGAACTATTGAATTAAATGCATAAAATTTCACTAACTCTAATATTATATGGTCAACAGTTCAAATAAGAAGAACCTCTCTTTTGGGGACTAAACCCTACTACAGAGCAATGAGGATTTTTAAAATATCTTCCCAAGCATTCCTGAGTCACATTTATACCCAATTTCTTGGTACCCATTCACTTAAGGTGGGATAAAGCCAACTCTTATTTGCTTTGAAGAAACAGTTGACTTTGAAAGCCTTGGGCACCTGTCTTACTGGTTGCTATTTACAGGTCAGGAATTAAATGTTTCCTGGTTGTCAGTCAAGATTTAATTTTATTGTTTTTATGAAGAGGTGGTTCATGCCAGCTGATGGTATTTACTTTTTTTTTTTACCAGTTATAGATTTGTGTTTCTGACAATGGCCACACAGTCTTCCATGAAATTGTCTCTCTGAAGTACTAAAGCATTATTCAACGAAACCATGCAGCATGGAGGGGCTTCATCCTTAGTGGGCTGGGAGGCAGTTCCCAACCACACCATGCTATGTGCAGCTCCCCAGGGTGTCCGTGTTCTTTGTGATTCACAGAGCCCATGGGAGCAGCTGTAGCCAGCACCCAGGAGGCAGTGTGGACTGTGGACTGCACCTTGCTGACTCACCTGTCCCTGGGTTGCCATTTTTGTACCTGGGTTGGTGGTTCATTTCAGTCATACTTTAAGATGACAAACTTTCCTTTGAGTCTGGTGACAATTTTCCCCACATCTAGCACTTGTGCGTTTCTTGGGGTTTCCCCCACATTGCTATTGAACCACAGTAAGTCCCACAATTACAATCTTCATGCATCACATCTTGTGGCTCCATGGTAGCTTCTGGAACTGAGAAATGTAATTATCCCTGAGGAATCAGTAAAAGACTTAATCCCCATTAGAAAATAACTGGGTCCAAATTGTCTGTCTGTTTCATTAGCCAGCTGATAAATCCCACCGAAAGCAAATTTGCCAAAATGAGTTGCTAACCTAACCTCAGTGCACCAACGCTTATAGGGTTCGAATATTCTCTCATTACTGTTCTCATGTTGGGAGGGAAGTGGTCTGGGGGAGGGGGTCGTGGGGAGGTATGATAGTCCTCTGGGGCTCTGTGATAAGTGACAGGGAGCCTGCAGCCATGCAGTCAGCACAAGGTGTGGCTGGCAGAGGAGGGCTGGAGCTACACTTCTCAGACAGAAGGAGTGGGGCTGCTCTTCAGGTGGCTGGGGCTTAAGATTACTTGGTGAGAGGCAGGGCCCAAGGTAGTTTGATGTCAGAGATGGCCACCCAGTTGGGTCTCGGCAGGGGCTGAGTGCCCACTGTTCAAGCTTAGACAGTGTTTACTTTAGAGTCACAGGTTTTGATCCGTTGGGACTATTTTCTAGATCTTCAAGGACTTCAGGATGCACAAAATGTGCTTGACTTTGAGTTCATTACTTCAGCAAACTGAGACCCACCCATGAGCCCAGCTGTGCTGGGTACCAGTCCCCACCCGAAGCATCCCAATTGTTTAACTTATGTCCATGGGTGCTTAGGAAGCATTTTTGTTGACTGAAACAGAGCACTTTTCAAACCTCAGTATCTTTGGAAATGCTTGTTTTGAGACCTGAGTTACTGGAAATATGGAGACTTCTTGCATTTTGTTCCTGAGTCTGGGGCCCTAGCACTGCCTGTCTCCATTTCTTTCAATACGGTTCTTGGGGAGAGGCTGCAGTTGTTGGTTTCTCCTTCTTTCCTGTGGCCACTCTGTCACAGTCCCTATATTCTATTCCACCCCCCACCCCAAAGTCTAGAAGATTCTTCTGGAAAATGCACCATTGTGCCCTGGGCCACAGCAAGGGGGAAGCCTCTTGTCCACAGTCTGACGCATTTGCTGGCAACAGCTGTCAGGATTAGTGGTCATAAATCAGGTAGCGACTGTTTGCAGTGGCTTGTCTTTCAGACTATGAAGTTGGTGGTGTGATCTTTGCTGTGGCTCTTATTTTTGTAGTGAAACGAAAGAAGGGGATCCTGGTATCGGTGGGTTCATGCCCTTTGAGTTCTCCGGTGTCCTGTCAGGAGCAGCAACCTGCTTCTATGCCTTCGTGGGCTTTGACTGCATTGCCACCACAGGTATGTCCACCCACTGTTGGGAGCCCATGTCCGGCTCCTCCTGCTCTCCCAGACAGGCCAGCCTGATTTTACCCATGGGTCACTATTTTCCTTCCTGTGGACATGTGCCGGTTGCTGAGCTTCCATACATGAGTAATGCGTAGGTTGCAGCTTCCTGATCTTTCCCGCCCTTATCACTTCCCCAAGTGGCAGTTCCTGACAGAAAACTGAATCCTGAGCGTGATTAACCATTTACTAGATGGGATGACAGCCGTGGCTACAGCCTGATTTCATATCTGTGCATCATCTGGGAGAAACGAGGCCATTAAAAATATTGTCATCCTGCGAATTGAATAGTCTAGGCGTCCTTGCGCCTCCCAAATCTCCCTGCCAAAAGAAACAAGTCTTTTCCTTGGCAGAACCATGATGTAAAGGCCAGAACACCACCTGGAGCCTAGGAGTCATCTGGTCTGTGTTGCAGAGAGCTACCCCCTATCTTCAGAGCCCAGGAGACGCTGGTCCCCACAGGGCCCCGTACTATGGGAGGCATTTTTGGTGGCGCAGACTCCCTGGACATGGAAAGGCCTGGGGCCTCGTGGTTTGTGGTGCGCCCCTCACTGTCTTACCCTCTTGGTTGCTTCTAGGTGAAGAAGTTAAGAATCCCCAGAAGGCCATCCCCGTGGGCATCGTTGCTTCCCTCCTGATTTGCTTCATTGCCTATTTCGGGGTGTCGGCTGCCCTCACACTCATGATGCCGTACTTCTGCCTTGACAAGGATAGTCCCCTGCCTGAGGCCTTCAAGCACGTGGGCTGGGAAGGCGCCAAGTATGCAGTGGCCATTGGCTCCCTATGTGCTCTGTCTACTAGGTGAGGATTCTCAAATTCTCTGGATGACATTGGGTTGGTGGGCCAGGTGAAGCTGGACACATAGGTTTGCTGTTAAAATTACTCTTTTCCCTAGAAGTGGAACCAGTGCCTCAGCTCTGATTCTCTGGTTTCTCCCTTGTTGCTATTAATCACCCAAGTGTCATTTGTGTTACTGATCTTGAAGAACCTGAGGCCCACTTTGTAACATTATCTGCTCAGCAAGGGACTGGCTTCTGTCCCGACTTTGGCCACTGGACCAGGCCACCTCTTTGAACACCACATTTTAGCCTTAGTTTGGCTGTAAAGTGGAGGCAACCTTGAAAAATCCCCCTTAATGAGGGGGATTTTGCCCCTTATATTTCCTACAAGCCCATATGAACAGTAACTATTTGGTGAACATCAATTTACCACAGAGACATCCTCATGAATGCTGAGATGCTTTTATTTTTGTTTGATTCAGCTGGAAATAACTATAGGCATAAATATAAAATACCCCTTCCAGAAAAACGATGACTAGGTTTGTGCTGGTTTGTTAGGCCTTTCGCATTCTTACATTTATATATACTCAGAGTAAGTGCTTTTTCTGGGGTTGTTGTATGCAATTCTGAGGTTAGCCATGAGCTTCACACAGCTTGGCAGGTGGCAGTCCTTGGTGAGCGTTCAGGGCTTCTGCTTCTCAGGCCAGCTGGGCCTGGTCAGATTTCGGGGCCTAGATTCCTGGTAAGCTTGTCTTACTGATGCCTTTTGCTTTTCCTTCCATCCAGCCTTTTGGGTTCCATGTTTCCCATGCCTCGAGTTATCTATGCCATGGCTGAAGATGGACTGCTATTTAAATTTTTGGCCAAAATCAACGATAGGACCAAAACACCAGTAATTGCCACGTTAACCTCAGGTGCCATTGCCGGTAAGAACTGGAACTGATTTCACACACCAGTGTTTCCACGTTGAGTTTTATTCCCTAGGGGATACCCTGAATTATACTGTGGTCTGTGAGAAATTTTAACTGGTCTTTTTAACACTTAGTTTTTACCATTAGAACCTGGTTTATTGCAAGGTAACTGCCCTTCCGACAAAAGACAGAGGCCAGTGCTCCAGAGGATGTGATGGAATTCCCCAAAAGTTTAAGTTCTGTTATTATCCTCTCATTGGCCAGAGCTTAGGACACATGGTCCCTCAAACCCATTAGTCTCTTCCTTTTCTGAATGACCCTGAGTAGATTTTGGTGAGATTACATCTTGCATTTACAAGCCAAGTGAGATTTTGTTATTACTGGAAATTTAGTGTCCTTGTGTCTTAGCTCATGAATTCTCTGGGAAATGAGGGTCCCTTATGATTAGCATTGTATAAAATGTGCCACCTTGCTCTGGCCAGCATGGCTCAGTTGGTTGAAGTGTCCTGTGCACCAAAGGGTGATGAGTTTGATTCCCAGTCAGGACACATACCTGGGTTACGGGTTCAATCCCTTTTCTGGGGGTGTGCAGGAGGCAGCTGATTGATGTTTCTATCTCTCTCTCCCCCCTACTCCCTTCATCTCCCTCTAGAATCAGTAAAAAATATCTTTGGGCGAGGATTAAAAGAAAATGTGCTACCTCTTCCTGAGGGGATATTGAGGGTATTGCTGGTGAAGCCATCTGCCCTAAGTGTACAAATAATGGCAGGCCCAGAGGAGATTTTTCTTACTAAGTATGAGGTTCCTCATCAAGAGGATGGTTTTGACAGATGGCGTCAGTGGACTGAACGCTTTATGTGATGATCCAGGGGCCTGGGATTAAGGAATTGGCGGGGGT